ATCTTAATGTTCATAGGGTCCCCCCTGCACTCCTTCCCTCTGCCACCACAGAGGGGCAACAACGAAGCCATCAGAACTCCTACTCACATCCTTTATGAAAACTCAAGATAGCTTAAAAAAGGATTATTTAACTGCAAACCTGCAAGTTCTTGGAGAGGATTGCAGGGAGAAAGAAAGGAGGGCTTCTGCTGTCCAAAACATTGCTTTTTAGTAGGAAGTGCTGCAACCCTGTGTTTCATTCCAACACAGAAGCAGGCAGAAAATCAAGAGAAATGTGTTGATCATCATAGCAAGAGTGATGGCTGGGGATGGAAGGAAGGAAGGAAGGAAGGAAAGAAGGAAGGAGGGGTAAAAAACACGTGTCTGCATGCTTGATAGCAAAGCAAGGAGGGTTGGAGCAAAGCAGATTTGTATCTGCAAGTTGCCAGTCCTATTTAGGAAAGAAGGAAAAGAACCCCCATGGCCACTTGTCCACATCCCCTGTGGCCTGAGCCCAGAGGGAGGACAGGTGAAACCAAGGAGATCACAGCCTAGCTCACATCATTATTGCCACTTAGTTGGGAAAGATAAGTTGCATCTTTCACTTTCAAACCACTCAAAGAGAAACTGTTTCAGCGCTTCGTCTTTTTGGCCACTCATCCCCTTAGAACAGAGCACAGCAAACATTTTATCTCATCTCCATTTTGTAAATCTAGGTCACCACAATCCATGGCTGTGCTGCTTGTGATACATCCACGACTTGCCACACCGCCCAGCTCTGGCTTGAAATCAGCACCAACTCTAGCAATACTGAGAGCAAGTAGCCCATAATTAGTAAATGGAGGGGGCACAGCTGTCTGTGCTTCTTATAGCCTGGGCCCTGCTGAGGGACTGAAGGAGGAGATCACCCATCTCCACTGATGGGCCGCTGAAGGAGAAAAGCCTCTGGTCCACAAGCAAAAACAAAGAAAATTCACCTTGTCGGCTGCTGGACACAACCAAGAGGAGAACACACCGTTTGTGAGCACCATGGATTCCAGATGGCGTACAGAACTTGCCTTGGGTTAGAGGGAACAGGGATGGAGCAGACAAAGTGCTGCACGTGTTGCTGTCAAACCTACCGGAGATAAAGTGATGCCTCTCTGAGTCACTTCCATATCTAAAACCAGAGCAATTGTAGTTGAAATGTGTAGTCCAAAACTAGCCCTCGCACTTCAAGTCATGCCATATCATCCTTTCCCTTGCTTTTGTCTTATTGCTCCTTAAAAAACCCTGAAGATGTACATGTAGAAGATGGTTTGTTTGTCACAGCAATGTTTATTTTTGCAGACCAGAGAGAGAAGTGCTTCAGACCTGCTTTAGATTAGGAAGAGACAGGAGAAATACAAAGAGCATCTGACACCAAAATAAAACTATTTTGGTCACTGCCATCTCCCTTATTCTAAATGAAGCAATTGTGGGCTACGTTTGCTTTGCATTCATAATTAGCAGACAGAACAGATGGCAAAGGCGTCACTTAAAGCCACACGTCGGACAAAATAACCCAGGCTGCCAGTGCCATTTTTTCTAGGAACAAGGAATACTTTCCCCTCTTCTTCCCATTGAAATGTATCCCAAAGAAATGAGGCCAGAAAATGTTTGCATCAAGTAGGGATTCACCACAGAAAGGAACCCATTGTGTTTTGGAGTGTGTTGATTACTGGCTGAGCGTGGAAGAAAAGGGCAATAGCAAATGGATTGCTAAGAGTACAAAAAATAGGAATGGAAACTAGCAATACATTGCCAGCAATGCAACGAGGGGCTCAAATAAACATATACTCACTCCTCCCTTTAGGCTTGTGGTTCAGGCATAGACTGGAACTCAGGACATCTGTGCCTCATTTAAAAGACAGCTGAATGGGAGAATCTCTATCAGTGAAGGCATCTGTTGTCCCACGCCCATACCTGATCCCTTCTGTATTAGATGCTCTTATGCTCTCAATACCTATCTCAGCTTAAGGGTACTGGAAAACTCACCGACAAACAGGAGAAGCAAGGCTTAATGCATTACCCATTGCACAGCACAGCTCCTAACCTCAGCCAGGAGAGCCTCTTTCACTAGAAAGCTGGAGCAAGGCCAAGCAACATGAAATGCATGTGTGGCACTCCCATCCTATTTCCTCTGCCACAAGCACAGACAAGGACTGAGATATTCCAAAACTACATACTGAAAGCATTTAAACTCTGGTTTTTGGTCCATTGAATATTGAAGTGCTGTGCTCGGCTTGTGACACCCAGAACATCCGTGTGTGAACATCTCAGAGGAGCAGCACCTCTGGGGAATCTCTCCTGACAGCTCATCTCGTGTGACAAAGACCCTTTGTTAAGCTCTTAACCTCCTACAAAGCTCCAGCAATTTAATCACGGTGAGTATCCTTGGTTGTTGGAAAGAAAAAGAGAGACTGATACAATTTCATTCCTTTTAGAGTCTCCTGAGGTCCTCCAGCAGTGCTGCTGATGGGCTACAAGAGGATTGTGACATGCCATTCCCTAAGCACTATGGATAAGCTGTTCCAGGCATGCATAATGAGCAGTACCAGAACACAGACTGATGGGCAATATAATAATAATCCCGAGCTTTGACTCTCATACTGCAGGTGTGTTTGTAACTGTGAGACTATCGTAGCCACAGCCCTCCTTGCTCAGACACTGCAAACGTGCTAATAATTGTGTGTCTCAACAGCCACCGCAGCTCTCTCCTCTCTCTGATGCTGTAAATGTGCTAATAATAATAATGAGCCTCAGTAGTACTACAGCCTGCTCAGCTGATGCCCTGCAAAAAACAACACCTAGAGAAAAAATCTCCAGGAAAGCACAGATCTCTTGACTTGGGGAAACAAGTACTGAGAATGAGGATAGACTCTAGGGAAAAAGTAGGCATTTTTAGGAAAGAGCATAGACCTAGAGAAAGAGGAGATAACTCTACAAAAGAGCTAAGCCCCTGAGAAAGTGTGGAGTCCAAGGACAGAGTTCAGCAGGATTCAAATCACAGAAACAGAGAGGCTGGACAACACCACTAAGATCCCCAAGTCCAACCCCAACCCATCCCCACCATGTCCACAGGCCACATCCCTCAGTGCCACACCTCCACGTTCCTTGAACATCTCCACGGATGGTGACCCCATCACTTCCCCGGGCAGCCAATGCATTACCACTGCATTTCTGAGAATAAATTGTTCCTCATATCCAACCTGAAGGCTACTGTCAACACTCCTCTCTGTGGCCAACCACCCTTCTGAAAAAGGCAACCCTTCCATGGGACACCCAGCCTGGCCAAGCCCCACCTATTTCCCAGGCAGCTCCACTTAGGAACCACACAGCCTCTTCTTCCTTCACCTTCTGATTCTGCCACTTATCTCCCTTCCTTCCCTTTACCCTAAAAATAACCCATTATTCACACAACCCACCAACAGAGCGATCCCACTGAAGTCAAGGGTAGGCTATGAGACTTCTGAAAAATCACTACACTTCTAATTTAAGCGAAACAAATTCAGCAGATTAACAGGTGTCAAAATATTCATCCACAGGGCTTAATAAAAGCAAAAAGCACTTGGACCCAGAATTCAACAGCAGCAGAACAATATACTTATTATATAAGCATGCACACAGGTTATCCATCAGTTCACAAGCTATATTGTCATCCTATCTACAGCCATATGTGTTATCCACTATGGTACATGGCAGGCAGATACGCATTCGATATTTCACCTCTGATAACTTCAAGACATCAATTAGATGTGTTACATCTTTTAGAATATGCAGAGAAGAGTAGAGAAGCAGAGAGAGGTGAACCTCAGTGCAAAAGGGGGGATTTCAAATCTCCACAGGCAAAGGCCTTCATAAACCACAGGTTGGAAAAGACCTTAAAGATCATTCAGTCTAACCATGACCTAAAAAAATGGGTCAAGTCATCTTTACGTCCATCTAAGTCTTAAGCACCTGTTGCTGTTTGGTGTCCTACCATTTCTTCATGGTATGCTTAACACAGCATTATTTTTTGCCCATTGGCAAGATTCTCAGAAGTGCCATAAAGTGTGTGACCACCTCATTCCTAGTGTCCAATCATAACTTCAAGAGAGTGAAATCACCAATCTCACCACCAATCTCTCTCTTACCAATGCTCAATGCCATTTGCTTTATTTTCCTTCATTTATTCAATTAAACCTATTGATACCCAAGGCCCTGTATTAATGCTACGTATTTATGGCACCTGGAATAATTTCTGCAGCACTACTTAAGTTTCCCCTGTGGCCCAGGTCAGGTAGGTTGGTCGTTTCTCAGGTGTGATATTTGCACAGGTTTCTTCTCAGCCAGGCTGAGACACCTTCTGAAGGCCTCAGCATTTCTCACAGCCTCTTGAAACTCAAGCTATTTCATTGGTTTTTGCATTTCTGAGCATGCCAGAAAGCCTCAGGAATGTCCATTACCAATAATTTGACAACAAGACCATGATATCACTTGGGGCTTGCAAAATATAGTAGAGAAGTGCTCTGGCCCCAGCATTAAGACATTATTTCTTGTACCAACTTTAGGGCTCCTTTGGCTTTCTGTCCTCTGATTGCAATAAATTATTGCCCAAATTTCTCAGGAGGGCAAAACTCAAATCCATTTAGATGTACCCACGCAGAAATATATAAAATAATAATTAATAGGTTACTTAGATAAAGGTTTTCCATTTTAGGGCAGAGGCAAGTATTAGTTAATTAATCATCAAGTTGGCATTAACTTATCTTTTGGCACCTACAATAAAATGTAAATCTAAAATGAGCAGTAGGGGGGAACAAAGAAATAGGAAGCCAACAATAGTTTTGGAAATGGATGACAAAATCCAAATGTTCTGCCTCACTGCTGCTAAATTAAGCACAGTTTTATCAGTGCAATGATTAAAAAAAAAAGAGAGAGATTTTCCTCTGAACCTTAAGTCACACGTCTTCGTTGTACAGGATACAACAGCAACAGTAAAGACAAGCAAATTTACTCACCCTGAGAATGACTGGAAATAAAAAAGGATCTGCTCAGGTCTTGATTTCCCCAAATGCAGCCCTACAGAACAGAAGACAAAAGGAGAACATCAGTTTGCTGCATTTAGCAATCAAAGAAGTGATCCCCGCACACCTTCCCTTCCAGGCAGCCACTCTTGCCTTGCTCTGCCTTCACTCTTCTTCCCCTGGAGGGCACAGCACAGGGGATTACGGCCAACCTGCCCTTTTTATCTCCTGCTAAGTGGAAAGGGCTCTAACAAGATCCCGGCTTTAGCTGAATATTGTTCTGGGAATTATTTTGGTGCAAAAAGGATGAGAAAATATTTTTTCTCACCTACCATCAGAGGCTCTCAGCTGTTGAACAAAGATGAAAGAACTTCACATGGAATCGACTTTTCTCCAATTGATTTTGTTTAGCTTCCTTTGCAGCAAAACTCACTTTTTCAGAGAGGCCCATTCCAGAAACACAGGCACAATGTTCAGTGTATGCACCCATTTGAGTATTATGGGATGCACAGTTCTCCCACGATTGCTCTACCACTGACTCGTTCTCGCTAACATCACTTACTCAACCTATGTATCTCACCATGTGTTTCTCAGATAAACCTGATGATATCATCCCCCCAGAAGAAAAATGGTGAGAACAATTAGTGCTTTGTAAAATACTGCTAAGAAGATAACTATTCCATCTGGCTGTCTTATCCCAAATCCAGATGAGAACCGGCAAGGGAAACGATGATACACATTTCATTCAGAACTACAAATAATAAACATTCCATTCAGATTCAAGTCAAAGGTTTTGCAACCACCTGTTGGTGTTTATTTGATCAAAGTAACTGTACTCCTTCCTGCCCAGGCACCAGCAAATCTCTGCCTGCTAAAACAGAGCCAGCAGGATGGATGTGCTCTTTGCTCCTCCCGAAAGCCATTTTATTAGCAAATGAACTGTGAATATGGGACGGGTAGAGGGACAGCCTTAAAGCACCCTTTCTCCTGCCTTTCATTTGAGAGATCTTAAACTATAATGAATCCCCCCAAGAGTCCCACCAGCATCCACAGTTTTCTGGTGCCCACAAGCCCAGTGCTGCCAGTGAGCACGAAGGCATCTGATGCAGAGCAGCTCCCCTACCTGAGGAAACAGTGGCATTCTGCAAGCCAGCTTCAATAAGCAAAAGATAACATATTATTCTCAGAATAAATAATTCTGATCAGCAGGGATACTTAGGCATAAGCACGGAACCCAGTGCTTCTCAGAGCCCCTACAACCCATCCACAGGAAAATCTGGTACTTTGGTAGATCCACATACCGCTCTTAATCAACTTTTTCCTTCTGCTTCCCTTTTGATCATAGAATGGCCTGGGTTGCAAAGGAGCACAATGCTCATCCAGTTCCAACCCCCTGCTGTGTGCAGGTCGCCAACCAGCAGCCCAGGCTGCCCAGAGCCACATCCAGCCTGGCCTTGAATGCCTCCAGGGATGGGGCATCCACAGCCTCCTTTTGATACCAGCATGATCTCAAATCCAGCAATTAAGTGTGTTGTGATCAGTGCACAATTCCCTCCCAAAACTTGCCCTTAGCTGCACAATCAGCTCAGAGGCTGTGCTGCTTTACCCCAGATTCTCCAGCCACAGCAACTCATAAACCCACGGCAAGGAGAAGGATGCAGAAAGAAAGACAGGATGGAGCTTTAGGTGTTTGGTTGTTGGGTGGTTTTTTTTTTCACTGAATCTTGCATTCATTAATTTCATTTCAAGAATGAAGTCAGATTTATTTTTTTTTATGTGGCTGGTTATTTGACGAGTGAAGCATTAGATTTGTGAGTTGTTCTGCAAGCCAAAACATGCTCCCTCTCATTCATAACACTGAGCTTCTCTGCGTTAAACAGCCGATTATCATGAATGAAGTGGGTGTAACTTCCTTGAAATCCTCCAAAGACCTGTCAAAGCAGAGCTACTGCAGCTCAGTTTTCCCCTTGAAGCGCACAGATCATTGGTTTAATTGTTCCACGCTGATCTTGAAACACGCTTTCTTGGTTCAAAGCATTAGGCAGTATCACTTTTTGAAGAGGAAAGGGGAAGGGTGGAGAACGGTGCCTCGGGATAAGAGAGAAAAGTGGGTCTATGTCTCAACCATCAAATTTAGGTTTTCATTTGGAATCTAAATTGAGCTTCATCCATTTAAAAGTGTGTCAGACAAAACCTTACAAATCAAAGCGCTGGCCTGCTTTGCATGGATAATCAAGAGCCTCTGGCTCTTTTTGTAAGAGGAAATGTTTAACCCTGCAGAGAAGAGGACTGATCTGATGGTTCTAAGTGGCCAGCCGCTTAGAAATTGAATTTGAATCAAGGTCTGCCATTCTCCACCCCACGTCCAACCTTTTGGTGCTGGCCCAATGTTATCTTGTTACAAAGGAACATGCTGATATTTGCAAACTTGACAGGCCCCTGTGCCTGCAGACAGAAAGGTCACGCGTATTCAGATAAATAAATATGTTATCATCTTCCTCTACTAACCTGTTTAACATAAAGATCTTCCCAAGGATAGCCATGGTCTTTAATGAAAAGTCCCTCAGCATCTTGGCTGCTCATCGTATCACCCTTTAGGACACCAGCAGAGAGCTCTTGGCCAATAACAGTGATCACACCATTGGCTTTGGTGGATTGACTCAATATCTGACCCCTCACCTAACATTTCCAAAGGCTGGCAAGCTTAGTGATGACCACAGAAAACTCAGTAAAGAAAACCATGAGTACCACCACACTTGTAAGGGTCAGTCTCAGGAAATAAACAGAAAGTGGCACCAATGAAAAAGTACATTTTTTAGATTTCAGCTCAGATTTCCACAACCACAACAACAACAAATCCTGACAGCAGTTTTACACACAGCTCTTAACAATGAGAACACTAACAAAGGGTCACAGAACGGTTTGGGTTGGAAGGGACCTTTAAGATCATGCTATAGGCTGGGACACCTCCCTCTAGACCAGGTTGATCAAAGTCCCATCCAGCCTGACCTGGAATGGCACCTGGATGGTGCTTCAGGGGAAAAAAAGAAAAAAAAAAAGAAAAAAAAAAGTGGAGATAAACAAAAACTGGAGATAATTTTGGAGATTCAGTAACGTGATTCAAACAGCCCCAGAAACAGCATCTCCATCCCATGCCCTCACTGCAAGGACATCCATCCGGAACCATTCACCTCTACCTGAAGCCCACCCTCCCCAAACCACCCATGGTGGGGCAGGTCCTCTCCCAGGCAGGTCCATCCTGTAAGAATCCAAACCCCTTCCATGCTTATCAGCAAAATGCAATCACATCATCATGTCCCGAGGTTTCTGTTCTGCTCCCATTACAGCAAGTGAGAATTTTGACACTGGTTTAAGCAGCAGTGAAAGCTGGCTGATGTACAAGCAGGTCTGACAGGTTGCATTTTTGCTCCCATTACTATGATGGGCATCAGGGTTCATTCCCATTTTCTTTAGCTGGCATTCGGTCCTGGATTTAAACTGCATCTGTGGTTGCATTGCTGTGAAATGTATCACTGCTTATGACTCACGTTGCAAAGGACACATTTGTAAACTGACCCACCATTGACAAAAATCCTCTCTTTCTTCACTTGTAGGAGGCGAGATGAGGCATAGGTTCCTTGTCTGATTCATTTCCTGAGGAAATTTTTACTCTCTGCATCTTTTTCAGTCCTCATTCAGTCAGAGAGTAGCAAAGTGATTAATACAAAATCCATGCCTGACACAGACTGGAGGAAAGATGCAAATTCTTTTAAAACCAGCGCTTAATTAATCGCTTAGAAAAACAACCCACTGCCAAAAAAATGTGTGGGGTTATTTTTTGGCTTTTTTTTTTTTTTTTTCCCCCTAGTTGAGAAAGCCTTTTCAGTTGAAAAGCTAATTACAAGCAACGGCACACAGCAAAACGCACGAAGGACAAATCCAGCACCCTTTGAAATCAACCCCTCGGAAGGAAGAATTAGCAACCTGGACAGAGCTGCAGGCAACTCCAGCCCTCCTGCATCTGCTGCTCGATCACATTCACTCACAGCCAGCTCTGTTCCTTCCTCACCACACTGCAGAAATCCTAGGAGAGATGCGTATCTAACACCTCAGACAAACACAGACAATGACCCGAAAATTAAAACTGCCAGGAATAAATGATAACACAAAGAGAACCCTGAGGAAACTGCAGTAAGTTTCTTGACCATTTTTATCTACCTGATTATTCATTATCAAGACAGTACTAACCAAGTCCAGATCGGGATGGGGATGTAAGCAGTCCCTGGGGCTGCAAGGCTGCTCAGAACTTGGCACTCGAGATCAGGCTCATTTCTCCATGTATGAGGGTGGGAAACGTTACCCTGCAGAATTAGGGGAAAAAATGAGCGCGTCCCTTCCCTTCATTTCTTCTCCCTCTCTCCCTCTTTCTCTCCACATTCTTCTCCTCTTGTCTTTCTCCCTGCGAGCACTGAATGATGGGATTTTTGACATCAGAGGAAAGTCATCCCTTCTCCACTCCCCCAGCTTCTCTCTGCTTCCTCCTTATGCACGTCCGTCCTCCTGCATGCTATATCCCAGCTCAAAGAACAGGATCAGCTGATCCGACCACAGCTCCATCTCACTAAGCATCCTAAATCCTGCCCACAGCGATCAGACTGACTGGTTCATTCACCCTGGCAGCCTGCGACCAGCAAGCCTTTAAAGCACATTTTGTAACTGTTACATAGCTGGCACCAACTATAGCAAAGTCATTGTTTAGTCAAGGTAAAGTGACCTCTATTTACTGAGCTCAGCTGCCCACGGGGAATAACTGGATTTGAGATAAGTGAAAATTTGCTGGGAAAGTTTCACTTTGGCCAGGCTGATGCTTACTACAATAAGCTAAATGTTTGGTCAGTTCATGCCCTTTCTCCTGCAGTTTCTTCAGCCCTTTGATTTATTATCTGTGACTAGACAGCAAATGACCCCGTCCAATTTCAGCGAGCCTGCGGTAAGCCAAACACAGAAGAGAGATTTGTTTCACCGAGCCTATTTTCTGATCCCAAATAAATACCC